TCATTCCTGGGCGTAGGCCGAACTAACTTTGGGAAGGAACTCAGTTCATGGTTTGACTCTCAAACAAAATTGTTAACAGCCCTTTCCCAGAAAGACCCCCTTCTTGCCTGAGGACCAGACTGCCTTTGCAGGACTAACAAATTAGCTACAAGATTAGAAATTACAGTTTAGGGGTCATGCAGCCTCTGGCTCCAAGAGTCTGAACCTCCCCCAGATTGCTCCTGTGCCCTAAACCTTTCCATCTCCTTCAAAGTTTCCTCCCACCCTAGTTATTTGTCACTATGATTGTGTGTGATAATAACATCTCCATGCTTAGCAAATTTTAAGTATATACTATAATATCGTTCACCATATGGTACATCTCAAGGGCTTTTCCATCTTGCATACCTGAAACTTTGTTTCCTTTGACGAATATCTCCCCACTTCCTCCTCCCCTCAGCCCTTGGTAACCACCATTCCACTTTCCGTTTCTATGAGTTTGATTATTTTAGATTCCTCATTTAAGTGGTATCGTGCAGTATCTGTCCTCCTGTGCCTGGTTTATTTCACTTAGCACACCATGCCTTCCAGGTTCCTCCACATTGTTGCAAATAGCAGGATTTCCTTCTTTGTAAAGGCCTAAAGGAACACCACTTTGGAATGGTGTTGCATTGTGTATATATCACATTTTCTTTATCCATTCATCTGCTGATGGACAATTGGGCTGATTCTGTATCTTGACTGTTATGGATAGTACTGCAGTGAACATGACAGTGCAGGTCTCTTCTCTAGATCCTGGTTTTAATTCCTCTGGGTATGTCCCCAGAAGTGTGATTGCTGGATCATACATGGTAGTTCTGTTTTTCGTTTTTTAAGGAAGCTCCATACTGTTTTCCATAGTAGCTATCCACCAATTTACATTCTCAGGGACAAGGTACCAGGGGTCCCCTTTTGTCTGCACCCTCGCACCCTCGCCATTTGTTATCTTTTGTTTTTGATAATAGCCACACCTAACAGGTGTCAGGTGGTATCTCACTGTGGTTTTCATTTGCATTTCCTTGATGATAAATGCCTTTTTTTTTTCTTTCTTTCTTTCTTTTTTTTTTTTTTTTGAGATGGAGTCTCACTCGTCACACACACCGGCTGGGGTGGGGCCAGTGACGTGATCTTCAGCTCACTGCAAACCTCTGCCTCCCAGGTTCAAGCATTCCCTGCCTCAGCTCTGAGTAGTCTGGGGATTACAGGCGTTCACCACCATGCTGTGCTAATTTTTTGTATTTCTAGTAGAGAGTGGGGTTTCACCATGTTGCAGGGCTGGTCTTGACTCCTGACCTTGTGATTTGCCCTGCCTCAGCCTCCAATAGTATGTTGGAATTACAGGCATGAAGCCACCTGTGCACCGGCCCTTGCTCATTCTTTATTTCTATTTCAAACAAATTCTGACAGACTTGCCCTTATTGATTGATTGAGATAGGAGTCTCGCTCTGTCCACCCAGGCTGGAGTGCAGTGGGTTCGATCTTGGCTCACTGTAAGCGGTGCCTCCTGGGGTTCACCACCAATTCTTCTGCCTAGCCTACGAGTCAGCTGGGACCACAGGCACCCGCCACCACGCCTGGCTAATTTTTTGTATTTTTAGTAGAGACAGGGTTTCACCGTGTTAGCCAGGGTGGTCTTGATCTCCTGACCTCGTGATCTGTCCACCTCGGCCTTCCAAAGTGATGGAATTACAGGCGTGAGCCACCGTGCCCGGCCCCTTTGCCCGTTTTTTAATTGGGTTATTTGGTTTTTTTGTTATTGAGCTGTAGGTCTTTTGCTTCTTCTCACATGTTTTCTAGCACTCCCCCTGGACCTGTTGGAAGTGGGTCCTCAGTAATGAATTGCTGGATGCATGAGTGGATGAACGAGGCCAAGCCCTTTTCCAAGATTCTCTGACCTCTTTTTTCTTAGTGTGCTCTTGGGGAGCTTCTAGCAAAGTCTAGCTACCTTTAGAGCAGCCTGTCAGTCACAAATGACAGCTCAGCTTACCAGGTTCTCATGCTGCACAGCGGTGGGGAGCGCCATTCACATTGCAGCGTAAGTGACCGGAAAACAGCACACTCCGGGCAGCCCCAGAGCTGAGTTTGTAAGAATCCAATTGTTGCTCTCTTGGGTGAGCTTCACACTGCTCCCAATGACAGGGTCTGTCTTAAATACTCCTGTCCCAGGCATGGGGTTAGATTTCTGTTGGACTCTCACTGGACCCATCTGCGGCTGGCACCAACAGTTGCTGGTTTTGCTTGGAGGTGGGGGATGGTCATTGAGGTAGGTCCTCGCAGAGGACCCCTCAGAGAGAAGAGAATTATGGAGAAAAGGAAGGAAGTGCTAGCTATGAAGGGTGGGTGGGGCTCCAGGCTAGGTAATTAACAAGGGATGCAGAGGCACCCAGGCACCCAGGAACCAGTAACCAAGGGGAGCTCTTACCACTCCTGGGTTGAAGGGCGAGGGGAGTACACGGTGTAACTCAGTGCAGCTGGGAGGAGGCACAGGCCAGGTGTGAGCATCACAGAGGTGCAGGCAGGGTTAGGGACGCTGAGGCACCCAGGAACCAGCAAGGGGCAGTTCCCAGGCTAAGGCTGAAGGGGTGAAACAGGGAGTTGCATTAGTTCGAGAGCTGGAATCCTGGTGGGCAACCCACGGAGGGAGGCAACTCCTGCCAACAACAGGCACAGCGGCTGGGATGCCAGGGAAGACACCCCCTACTTCTTCCAGCAGGGAGCCTGCTTCTCTCTTTTTTTTTTTTGAGACTTTGAGACGGAGTCTCGCTCTGTCGCCCAGGCTGGAGTGCAGTGGCCGGATCTCAGCTCACTGCAAGCTCCGCCTCCCGGGTTCACGCCATTCTCCTGCCTCAGCCTCCAAGTAGCTGGGACTATAGGCGCGCACCACCACGCCCGGCTAATTTTTTGTATTTTTAGTAGAGACGGGGTTTCACCGTGTTAGCCAGGATGGTCTCGATCTCCTGACCTCGTGATCCGTCCGCCTCGGCCTCCCAAAGTGCTGGGATTACCGGCTGAGCCTGCATTCTCTAGCCTCACCCAGTGGGCAGAGGAGCTCAGCTGCTGCCAGACAGAGCAGGGAGGAGGGCTGAGAGTGGCCCCTGGCTGTACCTTTCCCCAACCCTAAGAGCAATGAACATTTAGAGCAATGAACGCCAGGCCCTACGCCAATAGAGAGGGCAAGATGGAGCAGGCTGAAGTGTCTGGCTCACGCATGCACATGTCTATACCAGTAGCTGGTCATCTGGTCCGAGGATGGGATCTCAGGGAGCCAAGGGCTTTTTGGACTGTTCATTTGATGTCCTTGGTGAGGCCTGCCTATCACCCCCGCAGTCAAGAGCCCTCCTGTCGTTTTCCATAGTGCCTGTGTTCCCTGGGTGACCCGAGGAAGGCACTGCTGAGTGACGGACACTCTCACCCTTTTTTTTTCTTTTGAGACGGAGTCTCACTCTGTCGCCCAGGCTGGAGTGCAATGGCGAGATCTCGGCTCACTGCAACATCGACCTCCCAGGTTCAAGTGATTCTCATGCCTCAGCCTCATGAATAGCTGGGATTACAGGTGTGGGTCACTATACCTGGCTAATTTTTGTGTTTTTAGGAGAGATGGGGTTTCACTATATTGGCCGGGCTGGTCTCGAACTCCTGACCTCAGGTGATCCACCCGCCTCGGCCTCCGAAAGTGCTGGGATTATAGGTATGAGCCACTGCGCCCGGCCTTCTCACCTTTCTTAAAAAGCCTTGGCAGAGGCCTCTAGAAGGAGGCCACCAGGGCACAGAGAGAGGTGTGGACAGGCGGGGCAGGTAGCAGAGGGAGCTGGATGGTGTGGGAAGGACAGGGTGGAGGCTGGCAGAGGCAGCTCCAGCCACAGAGTCTCTGGAGAGATGCTTTCGGGCCAGGCCCACAGTGGAGAGGCAGAGGACTGGATCATGGACATCCTGGATTTCTGTCAGCATGTGGGGGCAGGACATGCCTGGGCTGAGGACAAGGACACCCCTGCTGAGCTGGGGGACCCTGGAGGGTGACAGGTTTAGGAAGGGGGTGAAAACAAAGCATTTTTTCTTTCTTTTTTTTGTTTTTGAGACGGAGTCTTGCTCTGTCGCCAGACTGGAGTGTAGTGGCGCAATCTCGGCTCACTGTTATCTCCGCCTCCCCGTCTTAAGCGATTCTCCTGCCTCAGCCTCCCGAATAGCTGGGACTACAGGCACGCGCCACCGCGTCCCGCTGATTTTTGTATTTTTAGTAGAGACAGGGTTTCACCATGTTGGCCAGGATGGTCTTGATTTCTTGACCTTGTGATCCGCCCGCCTCAGCCTCCCAAAGTATTGGGAGTACAGGTGTGAACCACCGCACCCGGCCAAGATAAAGCATTTCTTTTCGGACTTGTCAAGATTGCCTCTGGAGACATCTAGGGGGATTAGGCAGCTGAAGTGTGGGCCTAGGAACCTGGCACTGACCAGCAGCACAGCATCACCTGGAAGCTCGTCAGGAATGCAGATTCCCAGGCCCCACCTAGAGCTGTGGCATCAGTATCTGCATTTCCACAAGACCCCCCAGGTGGATGGAGGGCACATTCCGTGGAGTAGCTCTGGGCTAGAGCTTTTGTAAGGCCCTGCTGAACAGCAGCATTGACCTTGGTCTATGACGCGGAGTCTCAGCTGGGGAGCGAACTGTTCCCCACGGGACACGTGGCAACATCTGGAGACACTCTGGTTGTCATAAATGGGGAAGGGGTGCTACTGTTGGATAGAAGCCAAGGGTGCTGTTCAATGTCTGGCAACAAACACAACAGCTCCCTGCAACAAAGACGGCTCTGGCCCCAGTAGCCAACAGCAGCCAGGGTGCTGAGCCCTGGTCCTCAGGAAGTGCGTGCAGATGAAAGTGAGGGCGTCCCAGTACTGTCGGAGCCTCGGACTTCCCACCTGGGCTTCGCCCCCTCCTTGGACCTTCTCCCCCTGGGCGCCGAGACACCACACACAAAGGCCAGACATTGATGAGTCACTTACAGTTTATTTTTGCCTGAAAGTATTTCACATCTCTTTGTACACAGCTACGTGACAGTAGTATTAACCATCAGGAAAAGCAACAGTGCGAGGGGAAAGGTGGCATGTCTTGTTTCTTCTTTTTTTTTTTTTCTTTTTATTTTTTATTTTTTTCTTCTGCTTCTTCCTGCACCAGAGTGCTGTGAAGTATGGGACTGGAGGGGCGCGGGGAGAAAAAAAAGAAAACCAAACAACTAAAAACAACAACAAAAAACAAAACACAAAACGGAACACACTCACACACACACGAAATAAAACCTGGCACGGAAAATGAATTAAGACTGGAACCCAATTTCTTTTTTTTTCCTTTTTTAAAAAAATGAGGGCATCGTAGGGGGGTAATAAAGTCTACCTAGCAAAGTATAAAACGACAAAAGCATGGTTTCCATTGAATAAGATTAAATATATATAAAACAAGTACACTGACTGTGGGGTAGGTTTGGAGGTGCCGGAGGAGGGAAGTATTTGTGCTAAACCAACAGAAAAAAGGGCTGGGGGGAGAGGGGGACCCCAAATAAACCATCAACGGGCTGTTCTGTACAGTGAGGGCTTGTTAAGAAAAAGCCGACTGTTTATAAAAGAAACGGAGGTTGGTTTGTCTTCGGAACAGGTGGGGACAGAAGGAGCGTCTTCATTGCAGTGGTCACATGTGGAAGGTGGGGTGGGGAGGGCAGTCGGGCTGGCGGAGGCAACGTATCTCTTTTCCCAAGAGACCATGCAGAGAGGCGGGCATGCATGGGGCCACGTGAAGCACACGATGGCAGGGGGAGCCCATGGGTGACAGAGTCTCCGTTGGGGACAGGGGACAGCAAAGTCTGACAGGGACAGGAGCTCCCTGGGGGTGGGGAACAGCTCTTTCACCCGGGTGGACTGGAGAGGGCGGATGAGCAGCCTCCCGTTCAAGTCTAAAAGGTGCCGAAAGAGCTTGGGCCTTAGAGGAGCAAGAGGATCTCAATCCTTCCTCCTCCTCCAGCCTGAGCCCCACCTCGTGAGGGAGCTGGAGACATTTGGAAATCAGAAACGCACAGTGGTGGGCGGGGGAGGTGGGCAGACAGACAGACAGACGAGAGAGCATTAGCATAGAGAATCCATCACGAAAAAACAATTAATTGTTCCAAGGAGGTTCTTTTTTTCTCTTTTTGTTGTCTGTTTGTTTCCTTTAAAAAAATAACAATACTACTACCACTAACCCGACAGCTGACTGGTTTCTACAGTACTACACGCCGGGGAGGGGGGGCGGGGCGGGGGGACGGTCGAAGACTTCATAAATAAGAGGCGGGTCCCAGACCCGCAATTTGTCAACATGTCTTAAATAGGTGCATTATTTAAATCTTATGTACAACAAGAATCACTTTGCATAGCAATGGTGAGGACACAGGACGGGTGCAGTGATGTGACTGGGTCTTCTTGTCCCAAGGGCGGGGGGCGAGTTCGCAGCTCAGCTCGGAGCCTCTAGGAAGAAAGCATCCTTCGTCCGGCCCGCAACGGTGGCATCAGAGTTGACTTTTCCCACACGACGGCATCAAACACAAAGGCAAAGAAAATCCACAAAGGGTCCCCCACCCCCCAGCCCACCCCCAACCCCCTCCCCGACCCGCTGATGCTTCTCTTGTTGCTACAAAGTCCACTTTAGATCAGGTCAAAGGTTCCAATTACGAAGCTAAAAGAATTCGGTGGGGGCTGGGCGTGCTTGTGGACCCCCTCCCCACCCCCTCCCCCCTCCGCCCCCAGAAAGACTCCCCATCTATCTCACAGCCAGGGCACCAGGGTAGGACCCCAGGACCGGCTGCTCTGCGGCTTAGTCAAGAGTTGTTTTGTCGCGGTTGCAAATGTCTTCCTGCTCGAGCTGGGAGCTTCACCAGGCTTCAGTGTAGCGGACATCCACTTCCTTCAAATTGGGAAGCTTGGCCTGGGGGTAGCAATAAGGGTCCTTGTCACGTACAGGCCATTCCCTTGCAGAAGCTGACAGTGCCTGACTCCACCCACACTGCAGGCTGGGGGTCCCTGCCACCCTCTCCCCACGTTGGTGCTGTGGGCTCCCTGGGCTCTTGGAGGGTTGGGTGGCCTTAGGCAGACAACAGGGCAGGTGGGATGTGCCCTGGCCCCAGAGAAACCAGGCAGTGGGGCTCCCATGCACCCACCTCAGAGAGGCTTCGGTCTCTGTCTTTGCAAGTGGAAGCACTGGGGTTTGAACCCAGGCCCTGCCACTTGCTGCTGCATGACCGTGGGCAGATAACCCAGCCTCTCGGAGCCTCAGTTTCTTCCTGTGTGGGCCAATCTGATTCTAGTCCCTGGCTCAGAGGATAGGGCTAGGGGTTAAATAGCAAATGCAGAAAGCCCAGGGCACCGTTATAAGCCCTATGAAAGGAAACTGTTCTTATTTTTACTGTTAGTGATATTCTCATCGTTATCAGAAAATGGACAGGGTGAGTGATGCGGATCCCAGTAAGTCCCAGGCACCCGGGGTTTGGCTTAGATTCTTCTCCACTTGGCTTCCCCTTCGCTGGCCGTGGCCGGACTCAGCTCACTGCAAGGCTCCGCCTCCTGGGTTCACGCCACTCTCCGGCCTCAGCCTCCCGGAGGCTGGAACTACAGGCGCCGCCACCTCGCCCGGGCTAGTTTTTGTATTTTTAGTAGAGACGGGGTTTCACCATGTTAAGCCAGGAAGGTCTCGACTCTCCTGACCCTCGTGATCCGCCCGTCTCGGCCCTCCCAAAGTGCTGGGATTACAGGCTTGAGCCACCGCGCGGCCTGTTTTCTCCTTTCTGTTTCTGCTACTCAGACTTCCACCTTCTTCTACAAACAGCTGGCTTTTTTTTCACTTAACAAGGCCTCCACTCTACAGAGAGGTAGCTGCCTCCCAACTTGGCATCATGCTTTACTTACCTCCCTCCCAACTTTCCCTGTACCACTGCCAGCATACTTTTGTGGAGAT